TTGCACTCAATAAGATATCATCACCCTGATCATTCCATGCACTTGAGTGTCAATAGAGGTGAGGGTTGCAGCATGTCCATGGGTGCTGCAGGAGTGGCTAGGAATGGAGAGTTCTCGCGAACCCCATGCGTTGCCACGAAACAACATGGAAACACGCCCAATAGTAGCTTTCCTGATTACAACAGAGCTCATCACCTGATCTCTAACCACAAACGAAGCTTTCGTCGGGCCGTGAGACGAGCACAAAGAGACGGATTTGCATGGTATAGAGGTAAGCTCTACGATGCTAGTGCCCTAGGCACTATCGTTCGTACCATGCCCACGACCAGCTCGGCCACCTTGCCATATTCCACGGCTCCGTCCACCCGCGAGTTGAGGAATCGTGTGCACCTGTTCACTTGGAACTGTGGCGGATTGGGCCGATCTAAGCTGGAAGAGATCTTGGCTTGGGCACGGCCTCAACCGATTCAGATTCTTGCCCTGCAAGAGATTCGATGGGATGGCATCAAGGAATGGAGCCATGACGCTTGGTACCTGATCGCCGCCGGCGGTCATCCTCGTCAGTCGACAGGGGTTCTCGTGGCTGTTCGTAAGACCTTTTGCAGTCTAGATCAACTCTCCTGGCAGAGCGTTTTGGATGGTAGGTTGCTGCATGTTCGCATTCACCAACAGAGGCCTCTTGACATCCTCAACTTTTACCAGAAAACTTATCAGAACACTCCCCAGGACTTGCAAACTAGAGCGACTGTTTTTCGAACTCTCGATGAATGCCTTGCTTTGCTTCCCACACGAAATAATCTCCTCCTTGTTGGAGATTTCAACACGAGCCTTCCCCAGCAACCACCTCATGTTGCACATGCATCTTTTGTAGGGTCTGATGGACATCCAACTGTTGGCTTTCAACACTCGGACCAGCACATGTTGAGTGCCATCCTCAAACAACATGGATTATGTGCAGTTAACACCATGCTTCCTGGCCTGCCTGCCACTTTCATGGCAGCAAAGGTTCTGGATCTCGCATCGACTTCGTTTGTACGCGATTGAAGCAGGTAGATCACGAGGCCCGACAATGCTCCCCCATCCCAAGCTGTCCCTTGCTGGGCACCTCGTCGCAGGGTCATTGTCCTTTGGTATGCTCCATATCCATGACCTGGAAACCCTGGACAGGAGCTGCACTGAGTTCGATTAGTTTTGCACATCGTAACCGGGGTCGGTCTGAACGCACACAAGGTACTGCCAGATGGCAGGACTATGTGCACAGAACCACGCAGTACCTCACTCATGTCAGGTGGCCTAGTGACGGTAACTTCACTAACATGCATGCACACCTGACTTCCGATTTGCAAAGCACCTTTTCGGACACGGCGGAACGCCTCATGACCATGGGACAGGTCAATGGTCTTGCATCTCAGAAATGGGCATTGTACAAGTTGATCAAAGCACCTCGTGTTGTGACCCTGACTACCTTGTTCGACAGTTGGCAGCTGATCACGCAGCACCGGAAGGTACATCGAGCACAACAACTTGCATCGGCTCAGGCCAAACAGGACCGCATCCAGCAGGTTCTGACAGATGCCAGGCAAGCCGCAGACCGACATGATTTGAGTCGACTGCACCAACTGGTCAGGCGGCTCAATCCTAAGGAGAAGACGACACGTATCCAGATTCGTGATGTGGCCGGTAGGATCCTCAGCCCGATTGAAGAATTCACTTCCCTGAAACAATATGTTCAGATCACATGGCACGGGACCCCCCTTCCACCTTTCCTTGCTTCGACAGGTCCTGGGATACCGTTTACTGAAGCGGACTTGGTGAGGGCGCTTTCGAGCCTAGCACCGATGAAAGCCAATGCCCCTGGCACATGCGCATCACTCAGTGTCCTTTGTAATCCCAGCCTGATCGCTAGTAAGTTGATGTCCCTGTTACATCAGTGGTGGAATAGGCCTGACCCCTACATCCCAACTTCCTGGAAGAGTGGGCACTTGTTCTTGTTACCTAAGCCTGGTAAGCCTCCCAATACTGCTAAGAACCTCCGACCCCTAGCTTTACAAGAAGTCTTTGGCAAAGCGGTGATTGGCTTGGTGAGTGAACGAGCTCGAGCATCTGTTTTGGATATTTTGTGCTCCACACCACAGCTGGCTTATCTGCCCTTCAGGGGCACAGCGGACGCTATTGCACGTGCCACGCATCACTGTCATGAAGTGGTGTACCTGATCACTCAATTCCAGCGACCTGCGGAGCGACAGAAATCCAAACTGGATCGTACTGGACTGATTGGTGGTGCCCTTCTCAGCCTTGATTTGAGCAAGGCTTTTGACAGTGTTTCCAGGGATCTTTTGTTTCAGGGAATGGAAGATCTAGGAGTTAGAAGGGATTGTCTTCACTTACTTCATGAATGGCATCGAGGCACCCACTATGACATTTCCCACAAAGGTTTCTCTTCTGCTGTCCCTGTTCATCGTGGGGTTCGTCAAGGATGTAAAGCTGCTCCTTTTCTTTGGTGTTGTCTCACAACCAGTATTCTCTCTAGACTGGCCGAACGGACTTCTTGGGAATGGATTGAGCAGTGCATTACCATCTATGCTGATGATTTTTTTGGTACATCAGTCCTGCACGACCATGGAATCTCTTTCTCAGTTTGTTCACAATTGTGGTATTCTTCTTGATTTGCTGGCAGAATACGACCTTCAGATCAATGTGCAGAAATGTTTCTCCATGGTCTCGCTGCAGGGGAGCGCACACCGGAAAGCACAGGCCAAGTTCCTTAAGCGCACCGAGGAAGGTTGGCACATTTGTTTCCCCCGGAACAATGCTGAGGCGGCAATGGTCTTATTGCACTCCACTGTTCCGTACCTAGGGATCAAGCTGAGTTACAAGACCCTTCAGTCTACTTCGTTGCAACACCGTCTCCTCAGTGGACTTCGGGCCTTCCAACGCCTTCGACCATGGCTCTGCTCGAAAAAGGGACTCTCATCCAGACAACGGGACTCATTATGGTGTTCAGTGGTTCGTACAACTACACTATATGGTCTGCATGTGATTGGCTGTCGTCCAGCAGGGCTCAGGAAGTTGCTTTCTCAATTGACCTTGCAGCGACGCATGCTCATGCACGATCATTCAAGAGACACACATCGGACACATGAAGAATTCCATGCCGTTTTTGAGTTAGAGCCACCTGCGATCTTTCTCCGACGGGCGTGCCTCCGGACCCTGCAAGGCCGGTATGACACACTGAACAAACTGGACCATACCGATATCCTTCATCAGATTCCTTTGACCGAGACGCGGAAATTGGTATTCCTGTTGGATCAATGGATTGCCTCTCAGGCCATTCCGGTTGACTACACTGTACCAGCCTTTCAGCGCCGGACTTGTCTTGCTAGGTTTGCCACAGCTGCACTTCTCATTCGACATGAACACCAAACTCATGCACGCGGACATGGTAGATTGTTCCAATTCAGGCTTGACCGAGACGCATTGGCTGGCCTTCCACAGTGTCGGCGTTGTGACAAAACCTTTCAGTCGTGGACTAACCTGCGTACTCACATTGAATTTGGTAATTGCTCACAATTTGACGCCTCTCAGGCTGCCTCCATGGAGCTGGACCAGCTCCGAGCTACGGCTGTGCCCTTGATTCAGAGCACCTCCTTTCAGGCTCTTGGGGAGAACAAGGAACTCGTCGATTACATGCTCACGCACTGTTGTGTTTGTGGCAAACAGCAGTCTCGCTTCTCAGACATGGCTCATCATCTTCAGTTGGAACATGGCAACCTTGCTCTTGTCAGCCAGCGCCTTTATGAGGAATGGGCCCAAAAGAGAAGCTCTCCATGTGAGTTATGTCAGGTCCAATACCGTGTATCACATCAATGTAAGATCCTCCTGCAGGCTGCCGTGATTCAACAATGGCACCGTCTCTCCACTGAGGCTCCGCTACCACATGCACATCCACATCCAGCTGAACAGGACCTCACGGATCACATTTGCATCCATTGTGCTGAACTGTACCCCACACGTGATGCACTTGAACGCCATTTACAAGCTGATCATGAGCGGTTCTGTTGCACCAGGGACACAGTTCTTGGCACCACGGTCTGCCGTCATTGTCGCAGTCACTTTGGGGAATTGTGGGAACTACGTCGACACATTGACAGAGGATCCTGTGATCAGCTTGACCCACTTGGTGACCAGGAGCTGGGCACGGTCATGCGAAGTGATGACTACATCATGCCCTTGATCCAGGCTGGCAAATGGGGAGAAGTGACCAGAGATTCTGCAGTGAGACACAAACTTACGATGCTGTGTTCCTTCTGCGGCCAATCGTATACCCGGACAGCAGACTTAGTCAGACATCTTCAATGTCATCATGGAGGGTTTTATCGGGCCGCTGATCTCACCTCCAACACTATCGATGAAGCTGGATTGCCTTGCATCTGCAATCCATGTAGGGTTCCTCAACCCCGCTCTCACCGGTGTCCGGCCTATCGTCAGTTGGCCATGCTACAACATTTGGTCGATCCACGACACCGACAGCTCATGCTACCATGGACACCCACTATGACCTCGGTTCACAAGCTGATTCATTGTCACACTGCTCTCCATGCACAGGTCCCGGAGTTGGCACCATGGCTCATGACCCCGGATGAGAAGCCTTGGACCTTCATTCTTCGCTACAGCCAGGAGCTGAGCCACTCTTGCTTGCTGTGTGCTCGCACTGCTGGCTCGTCAAATGTGTTGATTGACCATCTCCAACAATACCATCGGCGTGAAAGTGGACACAACGACTTTCTCCTTCACCTGTTGCATCGCTTTCTCTCGGCTCAACAACCTGCTCTGCGGGATCCATTGCCATGCCCATGGTGCAAACAGGCACACAAAGACTACGCTGTCCTTGACGATAGCGTGTGGTCCAAGATCCAGCACAAGTGTGCCACCCTGTTGAACCTGGGTTGCGCCCTGACTTGGCTTCGTCCTGAAGTACCGGATGGACGAGCGGATGCCAGTCACAGACGGAGATCGACTGAGCCAGGTGGGCCAAGCATTCTTAAATATGCTCGTGTCACAGGAAGAGATGGACCTACATCCTCACGAGAAGAGAGCTCGCCGGGACGATGCCCCAAGGTCGATGCAGAGAAGAAGACAGACTCGCCAGTCCTCACCTCCGAGATCCGAGATGACTCGCTCGACCTCCTCCACCAGGGACGAGGAACCGCTGCAGGTGACCAAGCTATGCCGCTTGATGGGACAGCTTCTGGTGCGCCACGAGGATTCTTTGAACTCGGTTTCTACGCAGGACTCGTATGTGATGTTCTTCCAACGGGGCAATTCCGGAGTCGTGCCCTTGCTACTCAGAGCAGCAAATCAATGGCGAGACCTACCACTCGACCAGATTCAGATGCCTTTGCGCTCCTACCTCATCCAAGCCATTCTGACCGAACTGGTCATCCGGTTTCAGAAGCTGAAGACCCAGTTGGAAGATCCTGGCACCAAGGCCGCAGCAGTCAAGAGCCTGACCATACTGGAGGACTTGAGCTTTCCTTACCTAATGTGGCATGCTCAGCAACAGCGATTGGTGGTGAGTCAATCATCCCCCATCTCATGGACCACGATGGAATCTCACCTGGGCCTCATGCAGCAAGCCTTCCAGGAACCCTCCAATTGTGTCCGGTTCTTCGCGATGGCCTCCGCCCAGAGCCAAGCAGATGTGATCCCGTGGAAGCTCCAGATCTCCTTGAGGAACGACTCCTTGTCCAGCTTGATGAGGCAACTGACGGGGTCATCCCTTTGGCATCTGATCGGTGCTCGGATGAAACAACATGGCCTGCAACGGAGCAAGCTCGCCCAGGATATTCAGGATATCCTCCATCCTCGAAAGGGGAAGAAATGAAGCGTCAATGGATTGACAAGCTCCTGGTCATGCAGTGTGCCAACACCTCTAATTGGTGCTATGCCAATGCTGGCCTGGTGACTATGTTTTGGTCCTTGCTGCACAGCTCATCCTTCGATGAGTACACGTTCCGAACTGCATGGGAGGCAGTTCAGGGGTTGCTTCCATCCGTGACAGCGGATGAGACGGTTGATTTGGCCAGCCACTCCAGACTGGTTGAACTTTTTCAGGGAAAACCTCATGGGGAACAACGAGACATTGGTGAGTTCATCAGTGAAGCATTGCTGTGGTGCAAGTCGTCTCGCTTGTCTCAAGCTTGGGAGAGGCGATTTGAAGCATCCGGGAGTTGCAGCTGTTATGAGTCAGGCAGTGACTTTCAGCCCATTGCCTTGGTGCACCTGTTTGAATTGGACAAAAAGAGGGTGACCTTGACCGAGCTCCTCACCCCATGGCTTCACTGTCACTCCATGACCACGGCATTCACCAACTTACATGGCCCCAAAGTGTTCTTTCTGGACCGTCTGATCGACTCGACCCGGCTCTTAGGCCACTTCAACTTTGTGGAGTTCCTGGAACCTGTACTCCTGCCCTTCTTCGTCCGAGAAGGACTGGAGCTCAGATGGGTTGCGCACCATGTGGTGGCCTGTGTCGCTCACTTGGGAGATTCCCTGAAGGGCCATTTCCGGGCCTTGTTGAAGGACCCTCGCTCAGGCAAACTTTGGCTATGTGATGATCACCAACCGCCTTCACCTGTTTCTGAGGCTCCCGAGTTCATGCACACGCGAGGCATTCTGTTTTGGATGCTTCCCATCTCGATGGGAGATGATTCTGATGAAGATGCCCCTTGAATGCGCCGGTGTGTTTTACTGCACCGGGATCAGGTCGGGCTGGCGTTCCTTTTGGTTTGGGCAGGCATGCACTGGCACTTCATTCTGCTGCTGGAGCAACTGCTGCTCACCTGGATACTGAGGTTCCACCGTCTCAGTCTCTTGAGGCCGAGCCAGGCTGTAAGGACTCTACCTCACGATCTACACCTCCACAAATGCTCATGGACATGCCGATGTGGGATGATTCAGGCAATCGCAACTTGGCTGATACCCGGCAGCTGTCGGGATTGAATCGAGCAAGGGGTTCCACGAACCCTGATGATGCAGCCTTGGATGATCTCCTGGGCCGACTTCGAGCTGCAGATGCTTCGATAGATCGGCTCCTTGGCACCAATTCAGATCAGCGGCATTCCTGATGCGGCTGCCGGCTGATGCAGCTGCGCTGCTGCCAGGCACGGGGCCTGGCCATGGCTGCGCTGATGCTGCTGTGACCGCTGGGCGCGGCCGGTGTGAGAGAGGGTCGGGATTTTCTTTCACGTCGTTCCTTTTATTTTGGAGACGGGTTGGACTGTCATTGGAAGACAGCCTTTTTGACCTACGTCCCCTACCAATTCTAGATTGCTGGCCACACGAAGCTCTGGCCATCCTGTGGAAATTTGAATTCCTCACCTGGAGTCGGACAGACTCTATCGGCTTTGACAAAGGCTCTCCACTCAGGAGTCCAGCCGACTGACTCGGCTGTAGGGCGGCGCTACTCGTTCGAGCGCGTGTGAAAGAAAGAAA